CCATGTTGTCTGCCAATCTTGAGACTGTTTTTAGACTTGAACTAGTGGCTTGCTGTGTTGCTTGATAATCTTGGGACTGTGCCATTTTACTTGTTGACCTTGGGTTTGTTACCCTTAGCAGCCAGCAGCTGCCTGAGTTAAGAGATGCCTCCAGCTTTAGTGGGCCAGGAGCAAGAGGCAGAACTGAAGCCCAAACTCAAGGGGACTTCACCCAGCCCCTAGAGCTTGCACTTTTAACTCAGACTTCTAGCCTCCTAAACTGTAAGAGAATAAATCTCTGTTTGTTAAAGCCATCCACTTGGCGTATTTTCTGTTGGAGCAGCACTAGAGAACCAAAACAGATGGTTTCTTAGAAATGGTATTGCTTGGTTAAGGAATATGCATATTTTAATATTTGTTACCAAAAAAAATAAGCCACCAGAGCTCCTTTAATATTTGTTAGATACTAACAAACTATCCTTCAATTTATCCCTTGAATCAATTTTCCATAGTATAGCTAGAGTGATCTTTGTAAAATGAATTTGATCATGTGATTTCCCAACATTAGAAACAAAGCAACATCAAAGATGTTTGATGGATATATATTGTCTCTAGTATAAATTTTTAAATCCTTAATTAAAAAAAATTATTATAATTTGAGTGAAAGTTTACAGGGCAAATTTGTTTTCCACACAGCAGTTTATACACATTTTGTCTCATAACATTGACTGCAATTTCCCACAATGCAACAGCTTTCTTCCCACTTCCTCCCCATCGTTACCTCTTCCCTGTGTCCTTCCCTCCCATGTGCTTCTGCCCCCATGAGCCGTCTCCCTGTGCATACACTGCCTTTCTGTTTTCCCATGATTGAGCTCTCCAAGGAGTATATCTACCTAATGTAAATATTCAGCCCATATAACCAAACCAGAAACCAAACTCACTGCCATTGAGTCGATTTCAACTCATAGCAACCCCTCCTTGGGTTTCCGAGGCAGTTTCACAATGGAAGTAGATTGCCCAACTTCCTTTCGAGGAGTGGCTGGTGGGTTTGAACTGCCAGCCTTCTGGTTAGCAGTCAAATGCCTTATTCTGCCCCTAGAAAGTATTAATGAACTTTGATCTCTATACATTTTGCTTTTTCTTGTCTTTTTATATAAATGAGGTCATACAATATTTTCCTTTTATGATTGACTTACTTCCCTCAGCATAGTGTCTTCAGGCTCTATCCATACTGTAACATGTATGAAGACTTCATTTGTCCTACTGTCTGAGTAGTTCCATTGTATGTATGTGCCACAATTTGTTTATCCATTCATCTGTTAATAGGCATTTAGATTGTTTCTACTTCTTGGCTATTGTAAATATTGCTGTAATGAACATTGGTATACAAGTCTCTTTTTGAGTTTCTGCTTTCAAGTCTTTTGGGTATATACCTAGGAGTAAAATTGCTGAGTCATATGGTAGTTCTATTTTTAGTGTTTTGAGAAACCATAACCCTGTTTTCCACAGTGGCTGTATCATTTTGCTTTTCTACTAGCGGTGGATAAGGGTTCCAATTTTCCCACATCTTCACCAACATTTGTTCCTTCCTTCCTTCCTTCCTGCCTCCCTCCCTGCCTCCCTCCCTCCCTCCCTCTCTAGTGGTAGTGTAATGGTATCTCATTGTGGTTTTAATTTGCATCTCTCTGATGGCTAATGACATTGAGAATCTTTTCATGTATTTAGTAGTCATTTGATTGTCCTCTTT